AGTACTTTGTTCTGACTTGTGCCGTATAATCAGAGTGAGTTCCCCCTCTTTTTTCTTAATACTCCTAAACATGTCTAGGGAGTCAGTCCTGTTGAGTACAAAGGGACTTTTGCGTAAACTTGGCTTAGGGCAGGGGTATCGAAGTGGCCCATTCAGGGCTCTTACCCAGCCCACAAGCAACTGGTGCGAGGGAAGGCAGGAGGCTGTTCGGGGGGGGGGGCAAGCAGGGGTGTGTGTATGTGGTCAAAGCTGTCAAGAAATAGAAAGAAAATGGCCAGGGGCTAAGGCGGGGGAGGGAATGGCAGTGAAGGTGGAGAAAGAGGAGGTGTGGTGTTTTTCCTTCCCACCACCTCTGACTGCAGCTCAGTGAGGATTGGTGAAGCTACTATGTGGGGGTGGGGGGGGTGGAAGTGAGTGGCTGGCACTGCCACACCAACCAGCTTTGTGTTTTTTCAAATGGTAACCCTGAGGGGGTTGGCAAGAGCAGGTAATGGAGTGATGGTTTGCTAACGAAGGGCCAGGGCCAGCAGGGAGGAGAGGAGAGGAGAAGGGCCAGCATATGGTTTGGGAGGCAACTGGGCTGTCCTGTGCTTGCTGCTCTGAGGGGAAAGATTTCCTGCCCTTGGAAGTGAGTGGAGCCGCAAAGGAGAAAAGGGACATTGATGTTGCCGTGGCATGTCTGAACAGCCACAGAACCAGGAGGCAGTGTCGAGGTGGGTGGGGGACAGTGACCACCCTTTCACCCCTCCTGTTCTCAGCCTGTAAGGGAAAAGGGCTCGCAGGAGGACAAAAAGCACCCCCTGGAGGTTTCAGAAACAGCCTCTCCATCAGGCCTTCTCAGCCCCATCCCTTCTGTGGGAAATACAGGAAGGATATGGATTGGGGGGGGGGATCTGGGAGAGCCAGGTTCAGACCCCCTTCCTCCTGAAGCAGGACCCTGTCTTCTAGGTCACCCATGGGCAGTTGCTCAGCCTGGCCCACCTCACAGGGTGGTTGTTGTTGGGAATGCGGTGGTGGAGGGGGCACTCCACTGTGGAAACAAAAAGCAAGAGATGGATTGCTTTGCTTTGATTTATTAAATTTCTACCCCGTCCTCCTGGCCGAGACCGGCTCAGGGCAGCTTACATAAAACACCTAAAAATTTAACAATATGCATAAAATAAATGAACAACAATTAACAATTAAACAATTCTAAAACCATAAATATAATAAAGTGCTAGTATCAGTAATTCAGTACTTTCACAGTGGTAGTTGTTACACAATTTGCAGTGAGGTCTCTGGTCTTCTTAGGTCGTCTTAGGCAGCTGGCTCAGGCTATAGTTAGAAATCCCAGGGGGGAACAGGGGAGAACAAGGCTCTCCCGACTCAAGCTGTCAGTTGTTAGTGGCGGCGGCAGCGGCTCCAAAAGCCTGGTGGAAGAGCTCTGTTTTACAGGCCCAGCGGAACTGCAGAAGGTCCTGCAGGGCCCCAATCTCTTCTGGGAGCTCATTCCATCAGAATGGAGCCACCACCGAAAAAGCCCTGGCCCTAGTTGTTACCAACCTGGCCTCCTTGAGGTTCGGGAAGGCCAGCCGATTCTGGGCCCCTGATCGCAATGCTCTCTGGGGTACATGTGGGGAAAGGCGGTCCCTCAGGTATGTAGGTCCCTGGCCATAAAGGGCTTTAAAGGTAAGAACCAGCACCTTGAAATGAATCTGGTATGCTATAGGCAGCCAGTGCAAGGCCTTTAGCACAGGCTGGGTGTGCTCTCAAATAGCCTGGCCGCAGTATTTTGCACCAGCTGCAGCTTCCGGATTTGAGACAAGGGCAGCCCCAAGTAGAGGGTATTACAGTAGTCCAGTCTTGAGGTGACCATCGCATGGATCACTGTAGCTAAGTTGTTGCATTCAAGGAAGGAAACTAACTGCCTGATCAGCTGAAGGCGGTAAAAGGCCGATTTGGCAGTGGCTGCTACCTGGGCCTCCATTGTTAGGGAGGCATCTAGGAGCACTCCCAAATTTCTAACCTCCGGTGCTGGCGCCAGTGGAGCCCCATCGAAGGTCGGGAGTGGGATCCCTAACCTTGGACCACCCTGACTCAGGCACAGGACCTCTGTCTTTGTCGGATTCAGTTTCATGTAGCCATGCTTGGCTGCTGAGGCTAGGCAAATGGGGGTTCTGCTGAAAAAACTATCCTGTGTACTTGCAAGGATGATGCCTCATCTCCTAAAAGTGCCATATAAACAAAAAGTAACTAATTTGTATGGAAGATACCCCCCTTATGGTATCTCTTGGGAAAAGCCTAGGCTTGCATATGATTAAATACATTTATTGGGACATTTGTGGGTTCCCAGTTGATTAATTGCTTTTACTGCTAATCAATTGATTTTGTTAGTATTTTGAATAAAAATAATATCATTAATTGGTTTTGTCTGTGTCCTTTATAAAGTTTATATCACCAGTACCTGGCATCACATTTTATGGCACACATGGCCCAGCTCAACAAAGTAACATTTATGTCAAATCCGGCCCCTGTATCAAATGAATTCAGCACCTCTGGGTAGGGTTTCATCATTTAAAGTGTCCTAAGTACCTTTTAAACTGTTATCTTTACCAAAGTCTAGAAACTTCCAGCGGGGTGTGTGTGTAGATTTGATTTCTGAACGAATATTTGAGGCACACTTTGGTTACACTTCTGAAAAAGACTTACTTTCATGGTGTAAAAGAATAAGAATTGGTTGCTCTGAGCAGGAGGCTATGTTCACTTTAGAGCCAAACTAGATTTTGCAGCATCCATGGGTCTGATACCATTTTAGAGCTGAACTTGGCCATTTAAAAAGCAGGCTGTTTTGGCACTTGAAAAAACCTGGGGGAGGGGTTTCATGCTTCCACTGTGTTGTGAGCCTGATCAGGATTGGGCCCTTGTGTCATTTTTAAATGATGGAGTCCAGCTGCAATGGCATCAGCGTCCATGGGCTGGATTCATGGACATAGTTAGATCTAGCTTGGCCTTTGGTCAATGTTCTGAGTGTGTAAGAAGATTCAGAGATGCCATGGGCACCTTTGAGGGTGGGTACTTTGAACTTTATGTTTATTTAAGCACACTAAATTAGGCTTATTTTAGTACTGACTGTTGTGAAACCCACAGACAGGAAACCTCCTTTTCCTGGTTCTAAGAAGTAGAGGTGCTATGTGGGCAGTAACTATATTTAATGTCTTATTTTGATCTGATATGTCTTAAAAGTATTTCACATATTCTCCCCTGATCTCCATGGTATAAGGTATGGTATAAATGTGATAGTGTAATCTATACTACTTGGAAGAAACATTTAAGATCCCTTTTGCCATGGGTTTTTGGACTACGTTTGCCTTGGTTACCTTGCCCTATACAGACAGAGGGAGATTGTGTGCCTAATTCTTTTGGACCTCCAGGGTGCGTTTGTATTGTGTAGTGGGTTGCCACATGGATGAACGACAGATGACGACGTAGTGCATAGCACGCTTTATTAGGTACACAACAAGACAAGAGAACAACGGCCAGCAGGCCAACTATATACACGACCAGGGGACCACCCCTGGGTCCTATTGGCGGGTTTGAATCTCCCGCCACGGTCCCATTGGTTCCCCCAGTGGAGGGACTAGGATCCTAGTCCCCATTGTTGTCCAGGACTGAAGCTCAGGCGTGTGCGCTGACCTCCGGTGGCGGTCAGTGGACACAACAGTTTGGTAGGGATACTGTTCCAGTCCTTCAACGTTTGAGTCCAGTGGCGCCTTTAAGACCAATAAAGTTTATTCAAGGTGTGAGCTTTCGTGTGCCTGCATACTTCCTCAGACAGACTCAGACCCACATGAATCTATGTTGGAAGACTAATAGTTTTATTCTGTGGATTTGTTCCACTTAAGGTTGCTAGCCTCCAGGTGTGGCCTGGAGATCTCCTAGAATTAGAATTGCTCTCCAAGTGACAGAGATCACGTTCCTCTGCAGAAAATGGCTGCTTTGGATGGTAGAATCTATGGCATCATATCCCACTTAAGGTTCCACCCCTTCCCAAACCACTCCCCTCCCCAGGCTCTACCCCCCAAAATCTCTAGGTATTTCCCAACCCAGAGCTGGCCACCCTAGTTCTAGTAATGGTGGTGCCTTTGTTTAGCACAAGGTTCCTTCTCCTGATGAACAAGGCTCTTCTGCAGTGAAAAAACCTCTTGTGTTAAAGGAAGGCACCTTGTGCCAGTTAAAAGTGCCACCATTAGCAATGCAGATTCATGGAATCTATATATCTAATTCCAAAGTCGCCCCCTGGTGTGCGGATACCTAAATCCGCACACCGGGGGGACCTGGGGGGGAGGGAGATGTTTGTGCACACTTGGGGCAGTCCCCAGGTGTGCACAAAAATCTGAAACCTTTAAAAAATATCTGGGGGATACTTAAATCCCCCCAAAACTGCTTCCTCCTCTGCCTCATGTGTGGAGGTCCCTCCCCCCCCCGCGATTATCGCGAGTCCGCCCCTTGTCTAATCCTATTTCTCAACCGCATAGCTTTTTCTCTTGCGTGGTTCCACAGGGCTCTGGAATCGTCAGGCAGCAAATGTTTGGAAAGAAATGGTACTTACTTTTACTAATGTGTGTGAAAAGAGGTGGGAGGTCAACCACCCCTTTTGAAGAGGTGTTTCTTTTGTTTATGTAGGAGAGAATAGCACTTCTAAGATGGCAGCTGTAAACCCATGGGCGTCTCATCTAAAAGCAAAGTAATGACACTCCTTCCCCCTTCAGAATAGTTATTTTATTTGTGTGAAAATGTATACATTTAATCAAATAAAACATAGTGTTAATTGATTATGATTTCTTTAATCACCTCCTAGAACAAAACAACTACAGGAATAAGATCGCATGCCTTAACTGTGTACTGCACTTTTCTTTTCTGTTTCGATGTTGCAGTTGATCTTGCCTGCTGAATAGATCTTGCTCACTTTCAACCAGTTCATTAGCATCCCTGTTATCATCCACTTCCTCCTCATCTTCTTCATGAGCTGCCAGATGAGATACAATGCTAAGGAACTGGCTTCACTTGCTAGAAGGCCATCATCTTGTTTTGACAAGGAAGGAAATCTGAAGATTTGCAGAGTATTCGGGGATGGTAAATGTATAGGTAAAAAAACCACTGGTGTTGCCAATTGTCTATGCATGTGTTTTTGACAGTTGTTACATGACAGTTTTAGTATTCACAGATTTGCTGGCATAATGTATTTTCTTTGCTGTCAGTGGACTGCTCTTAAACACCTTTCCAAGTAATTGTTATTCTGATGTGATTATGGTGTGTAAGCGTTTTGCTGGCATATAGGAACATGAGGGAAAATATTAGCCCTGTTGTTTGTTGGCTGTTATCTGGATTAATTTATACTGGGGAGTGAGATAAACTATTTATTAGGGCCAAACTATGTATTACATGGTGTTTCCCCTCCCCCAGCAGCTATTTTTTGCATGTAGACAGGGTAAGTGAAATGGGGCTTTATTGTGACCCATGGTGAAACGTCATCCACAGGTGCTTAGGCTTCATGAACTTGTGTTCAGGCAGCACAAAGGGTCATTCAGCTGAACGGGAGGTCTGTGTGTGCTTCTCATGTTCATATTCAGCCTGCTCTCCTTTCTCAGTGTGAGGTTCTTTGTGCTAACAAAAATAAAAATTGCATGGAGAGATAACCCAATTCTATGCCAAGGAAAGTTGCATGTTGTGCCTTGTGCAAATTAAATATATTTGTATATATTTGTCGGTTTTCCACAACCACTTCTTCTGATAGTTGCAGAGGGGCACAAGAAATCCCTTCCTCGTGTCACAAACAGCAACAGAAGGGTCCTATTGTGTTGCTACAATATAATTACAATAATAATACAGTTAACAATATACAAGACAAAGGATGCAACACTGAAAATATGGATACCCCAGATATGTTCAGTGCATAACCATTTGGTATACTGTATGGTGTGCTGGATTAAGACTGGGGAGATCAAATTGCTAACCAGCCAAAAAGCTCGATGAGTAACCTTGGACCAGTTACTCTCTGTAAGTCCAGGGGTCATTTCCTGCAGGAGCGCACAGGAGCGGAGCTCCGGCAGTAAAGAGTCCAGGGGGTGGGCACATGCAACAAGCCCCACCCCCTGCTCCCTGCAGCCCTCAGTCAGAGCAAGAAGCAGCCAGGTAAGCTGCAGAGCCCCCCCCGCCCCCCGGTCCAAAACAGTCCAGTGGCACCTTTTGAGACCAAGTTTTATTCAGTTACAAGCTCTCCCTCCTCTGCGAGGACAGATCTGCATGTTCCTCCTCCCAATAGCTAGCAATCCAAAACAGTCCAGTGGAGCCTGAGCGGAGGGTGTTGCCTTCTGGCACACTTCCGGTGATGTCATGGGGTGTGGCATATGCAAATAAGCTATGCTAATGAGTTATGCTTATGAGCTCCTGCACCTCTTTTTCTACGAAATGACCCCTGTGTAAGTCTAATTTATTTCACAGGGTTGGTAGGATGATAAAAGGATGTGGAGCAGAACAATGTATGCTGTCCTAAGTTCCTTAAAGTAAGGGCAGGATACTATGACATAATTAGGTCTGTAATGTAAACATGTAAACATCAAGGTCTGTAATCCAACAAGGAGACGGAATTGTTTCATAAATCTGTACATTCAGAAAAGATACTTCTTTATTGTTCTCAGTACTGTCTGGTCCATTAATATGTTTTAGGTCATCTTTATTCATGAGAAACATAAATGGGAAAGAAATCCAATTTGCTTTATTGTAAATCAATTACAGAGTTCCACATGTCCCGGGAAGAGGCAGGTGATACTTCCTGATCATTGGAATCCTAGTATGCCATCCCTCATATTTGGAAATTTAACCTGATGTTTTTCACACATTATTTTTGCTCCTATAAATTCTACAAATCGAAATTATCTAGAGGCTGACTTCCATACTTTATACAGTGGGCCAGTTCAGATGTAGTACGAAACCACTGTTCAATATTAGATGAATGAGATTTTTGTTTTGTGTGCGTGTTCTCTTCCTTTCATCTCACTGTTTTTCTTAACTTAATTGTTTCTTAACAAACCATAGTTTGTATCTGAACGCAGACTCCCCAGTTCTTGGTTTGCATGGAAAGCAGAATTGCAACCCACAGTTTCATCATGGTTTTCAGTTCTGATTTCCAGTAAAACTGTAGTTGGTACAACCCATAGTTTGCTCTGTTTCCATGAAATTGCAAAGGTAGGACTTGCTAAGAAGGACAAGACAGGGGAACCATGTTGAGACTTACTCTTGTAGTGCCTGACTATGGTTTAACCTTATGACTGACAGTGCTGTGAAATACTTACGTGCCCTCTGATGAGCAGCATTGTAAATCCCTTTTCCACTTTAGAAATACATTTCAGATGTTTATTTTTAAATGGATGTTTGGTCTTTACCAACATAAACTGTGCTCAATAAAACAAACCTTTAACAAAGCTTCTGCCTGGCACTCTGTGTGCTTGTAATACTCTGTCTCTGAAGGCATCCACATTTATGTACCTTGTCATGCAGTTTTGCGGTGGTTAGATCTGGGTCTGGTATTTTAGAAATGGTACATTTAAACAAACAAACAAACAAACAAAAAACCCGAGGTAAATCAAGCAGTTCAGTCTGCAATGATCCCATTAAAAGAGTAGACATTACATCCCCAGTAAGGCTTGCTTGCTAATCTGTTGAAGCTCTGGCATGCTAAAGAGCCAGTCTCTGCTCCCATTTGCAAAAAAAAGAAAGAAGCAGAGAAAACACAGTCAAGTATGTGCTGCAGTCACCAATTTTGTCAGCTGCTGGATAGAGAAAAGTCAGGAAACCTTCTGGGAAGATACCTGGCATTAAGCAGCACATTGTACACCAGCTGCCAAGGGAAGTGGATTTTTTTGGTTAATGACTTTCCCCTGAACTTTATTATGAATGCATTTTTAAGCAATCAGTGAGAGAAGGTAAAAGGTTTGTATTACTATTTTTAATACCATGCCTTTTTTTTTTTGTATGCAGAGCCAAAGGAGAGATGGTGCCGTCTGAAAGGAAATCTGTTCTTTCTAATGAAAAGTAAGACCAAGGTAATTCATTTTACATCTCTCTTACCCTTTGTATTTATGACTTTTTTCTTGTTATCGAATTGATCCAAAGGGTATCAGTTGATCCTTGATGGTATGGTAGGGAGGATAGGAAAAATTAAGTACTGTTGGAAGTAACTTAAACATCATATTTTATTTGCCTTGATAGCACTTTATAGGAGCTGCGGTGGCTCAAGTGGTTAAGACGCTGAACTGCAGGCTGTGGAAGGTCAGTAGTTCAGCAGTTCGAGACCCAAGTTGCCACATGACGGAGTGAGCTCCCGTCTCTAGTTCCAGCTCCTGCCAACCTAGCAGTTCGAAAGCAAGAAATTGCAAGTAGATAAATAGGTACCACTTCGGTGGGAAGGTAACAGCGTTCTGTGCGCCTTGGTGTTTAGTCATGCCGGCTACATGACCACGGAAAACATCTTTGGACAGCGCTGGCTTTGAAACGGAGATGAGCACGGCAACCCTAGAGTCGGACTCGACTGGCTTTCGAGCAAGGGAACCTTTACCTTTACCTATAGCACTTTATAAAATGTGAGCATCAGTGTTTGATTGGCTGCACTGGAAATGACTTGGGATCAAATAGTGCCCTAATTTGATATGTACAGGAAGATGCCAATTCAGAGTACTCTGATAACATTTTTGTGTCTTTGGTGTAGTGGCCAGTTTGGTGTAGTGGTTAAGTGCACGGGCTCTGATCTGAGAGAACCGGGTTTGATTCCCCACTCCTCCACTTGCACCTGCTGGATGACCTTGGGCAAGCCATAGTTCTGATAAGAGCTGTTCTTGAAAAAGAGCAGTTTCTGTCAGAGCTCTCTCAGCCCCACCTACCTCACAGGGTGTCTGTTGTGGGGAGGGGAAGGAGTTTGTAAGCTGTTCTGAGACTCTGAGTGAAGGGCGGAGTATAAATCCAATCTCTTCTTCTTCTGTATGCATAAACAGCAGAGCTAAATAACCAGATCTCTTAACTTGAGAGGCAGTGTGGTATAGTGGTTAGAATGTTGGACTTGCATCTGTGAGACCCATGCTTGAATCCCTGCTTTGCCATGGGATGTTGCTGGGTGACCTAGGGCCTGCCACACACACTCAGCCTTAACCTGCTTCACAGGGTTGTTGTGAGGATAACATGGAAGAGTGGGTAATGATGTAAACTGCCTTGACTCTCCATTATGGAGAAATGGTAAGGTATAAATGAAGCAAATGTAAATAAACTTTTTTGTGTAGGCAGCCAATTACTGTTGGTTACTTTCATGGTATCAAAATTTCTATTTCTGAGTAAATCTGTAAGGATGTATTGAGTGAGCAGAGGGAAGGTAGACTTCCGTGATTTCCCTTATAAAAATATTGCCTTAGAAACTTGATCTCAAAGAGAACGTTGCCCCCTTTCCCCTTGTTTTACCTCTTCAGAATGGTGAAATGTTAGCTTGCTTTCTGCAAAGTAAAAAATGTATATGCGAAATGAGTATGAATCATAATTATGGTTTGCTGTGCAGTAATGGTCTCATAGGGCCCATTGTAAACTGAGTAAATATGAATTTGAAAGTGCATATTTTAAAACATGCTCTAAGGCTTTTATTTAAAAGTGGTTTTGTGATCAATAGTGATGTAGTCATGTCTTTAGACGAATCATTAGTGTCCGTGGTGGTATATCCTTCTTTGTTAGTAGCTTAATGATGCAACAATAAGAACCATTCACATCTATTAGGTTAGTTTGTTCCTGTGCATGCATACTACATTTATTGTGCTTAGGGATTTCAGACTATTTGTGTGGGAATAAACATTTTAGAGTTGCTCAAACTTAATTTGTTTTATAGAAGTTTTATAGAAATTAACTTGATAAAGGCAGCAGACTTTATAAGAAATTAAGTCACACAGAGTGCCATAATTTAATACTTAGAGACCATTTTGAATGCTGCTTCTGTTGGCAGTCAGCTGCAGTTCCCTGTATACTTGTTAAGCTGCCAAACCTTTGCTTTGACCAACAACCATTAAAATTGTTCTGTTTCAAAGCTTCTTGTGTGACACATTAAGGCTGCTGCGAATTTATGTGGTAACTTTTGAAGCCCCCTGAAATTAAGAGGTTTAGTTGAAAACATTTGAAGACTCCTAGATGGGTAGGGTTGCCAGGTCTGGGCTGGGAAATACCTGGAGATTTTGGGGTGCAGGCTAGGGAAGGCGAGATTTGGAGAGGGGAGGACTTCAGCAGGGTATAAGGCCATACAGTCCACACTTTAAAGCTGCCATTTTCTCCAGGGGAACTGATCTCTGTTGTCTGGAGATCAATTGTAATAGTGGGAGATCTCCAGGTGCCACCTGGAGGTTGACAACCATATAGATGGGCAAGATTGAAGTTGAACCTTATAGTATACTTAATGATCAAGTGTATGAAATACAAAGTGGGGAATGTTCTGCTCTGTGACTTGTTATACAAAGGTAATATATTATAGAAACAAGTTGTATTCCTGGGCACAGAAGTACTTATAGGCAGGATGGATGTGCAAACTGAAGCATACGTTGCCAGTAATCCTAACTGTGTTTGTAAAGGCTTAATATAAATTACAGTCTTACAGCATATATCACAACTTTAGTGTATTATTAACAGCTGGCAGAAAAGCATATAATAATAATTGTTGATTAATATAATAAATCAATAACTGCCGTTTACGAGAAAGGGGAAAAAACTTGTGGGTTATTTTTAAGTGTTTATGATGGGACTTGCATCAATAGAATTGTGAGAGATTATGTAGCATGTTAATGGTTCCACATCCTCTTTGAGAGGACTGACAAGTGGAGTGCCTCAAGGATCTATCCTGGGCCCTGTGTTGTTCAACATCTTTATAAATGGATGAAGGAATAGATTTGCAGATGATACTCAGTTGGGAGGGGCAGCAAACACAGTAGAAGACAGAATCAAGATACAGGATGATCTTGACAGGCTGGAAAACATGGCTAACAAAATGAATCTCAACAGAGATAAATGTAGAGTTCTACATAGAGGTAGAAAAAATATAGAGGGAGAAAAAAATCAAATGCATAATTAGAGGATGGGGAAGACTTGTCTTGGCACTAGTACTTGCGAGAAATATCTGGGGGTCTTAGTAGACCTTAGACTGAACATGTCAGCAGTGTGATGTGGTAGCTAAAAAGCAAATGTGATTTTGGGCTACATCAACAGAAGTATAGTGTCCGACTCAGGGGTCTTTTCATACAAAAAGAGCTGTAGGAGCTCATTAGCATATGGTACGCTAATGAGCCACTAGGCTATTAGCATATGCCCTGCCCAGTGATGTCAGAAGGGGAAGCAAAAGGGGGAGAGGCATCTTCAAAAGCCTCCCCTTACCTTCCCCAGCTGGTGCGCGGGGGGGGGAGCGAAGACAGTAGGGGTTTAAAGTTTAAAGCCCTTCTCACTAGAGTTGGGCCACAGAACAAGGAAAGAGGGAAGGAAAGAGAGAGAGTAGAGAGAAGGAAAGAAGGAAGGAAAGAGGGAGAGAAAGAAGAAAAGAAGGAGGGAAAGAAAGAGAGAAGGGAAGAAGGAGGGAAACAAGGAAAGGAGGAAAAAAGAGAAGAGAAGAAGGCGGGAAAGAAAGAAAGAGGGAAGGGAAGAAGGA